CCCTGAGTTCTGTATGATCTGACCCTCCAAGCCAGGGTTAAGACAGACCTTGAACCTCCCTGATATTGACTAAGGCAGGGATGCCATAAGTAACAAAGAAGAAAGTATGATGAGAGTGTTCCTAGGCCAGAAGCTCCACAGCAAGGAGGGTGTGCGTTTGGTCATTATGTTCCCATTCTGTAATAGTCCCTCTTCCTTGTTTTCTGTGCCATTGATTGGTAGAAGAAGCCAGGGGATTTGTGCTATAAAATGCTGCGTAGCTCTTTCTGTTATTCACCTGACAGCCCTCATCCTGGTGCAGTGACTCCACTCTTAGAAAAGTGACTGAACTGGGAGCACATCTCCTTCATGTGGGAGATCTTGGTCTTGGTCTGTCTCATCCTTGAGAAGAGGAGAGAGGCCCTGAAGTCCTGCCACCAAGTCCTGTTGATTCTACCTCCTGATTAGCTCTCGAATCCATCCACTTCTCATCCTAGTCTATGCTCCATTCATCATACTACCACAAGAGTGGTCCTTCCAGAATGTGTGTTTGATGATGTCACCCCTCTGTTTACAGTTCTTCAGTAACTTGACATGCTATTAGGATGAAGTTTTAATTCCTTAAAATCATTTACAAGGCCCTTTTGACTTAGCTTCTCCAGCTTTGTCTATTGGCATTTACTCTTCACACTGTATTTACAACTCATATCTTTCAGCACCTTGACTTACCATGCCCTCTCACCTCTAAGTGTCACCCATGCTGGCCCCTCTGCCTCATCTGGCTAACTCCCAGTCCCTCCCTGAAGTCATGGCTGAAATGCCCCTCCCTGCTCTATGCCACCATGGCACCCTCACAACATTGCCTGTCTCCTGCAGTAGACTTGGTCCTGGAGAGCAGGGCTGTTCAAGTCTTGCTCATTGCTACATCTCTAGTACCTGACACAGTGCCTAGCACCAGGTATCTGCTCCTACTTGTCAATTGCATGAATGAATTATTATGCTAACTTCTCACAAGTAAGGTGGGTAGTTGTTCAGAGTAAGAAAGTGCATGTGATAGGGTCTTTTTATCTAGAAAACACTTAATAAAACTAATAATTTTAATACCTTAAGTTGGTTTTGCACATTTCCTCCTAACAGCTCAGAATCTAAAGTTTGAAGGTAATACTTACTTTCTTGTTAATTTTTTTGAATTTTTTTCCTTAAATGGATAATATGCATATCTAAGTTAATTCTTTGTATGTTTAGGATATTCATTCAAATTTACCATAAGTTATACCCTTGGTTGCAAAGAGACTCTGCTGACCTGAGAGAGATATCTGTTCTGGGGTCAAACTGAAGCCAAAGTCTTACCTCTAAACAGAGTGCATTTGAAATGCTTTCAAATGTGTGCTGTTCACATGCTTTTAGGGAAGAAGGACTGCGTTAGAGGCCTGTCTACTGTGTTTCCACAGGCTATTTGGGGGCTTGGTGTTGGACATCAAGCGGAAGGCCCCCTGGTACTGGAGCGACTACCGGGATGCACTCAGCTTACAGTGTTTGGCCTCCTTTCTGTTCCTGTACTGTGCCTGCATGTCACCTGTCATCACCTTTGGGGGATTGCTTGGAGAAGCCACTGAGGGACGCATAGTAAGAGTCCTTAACCACTTCGAATGGTCCCAAATAATTTATTTGGACTTGCGGCGGCAGCCAAGTCCACTGGGGACTGGGGGGAGTTACCCGGTCTAGGACTGAAGAGATTGGATTTTTCCTCTGAATTACCATGGTCTTCTGACATCATACCAAATAACAACACAGTTCTCTTTAGAACAGACTATTCTGCTTGAACATCAGCTTCAGTAGCTGGTTGCTCAGTTGAGTTTTCTATTGCCTCAGTGATGGAAAATGGATATATTGATGCCATTTTAAAATAAGATTTAAAGTGACTCTGTATGTGAGCTTGTAGTGTGAGTGGTATCACTGTGCTTTCTATATATTTTCAAATACTGAATTGAGTCACTGAAGAATAGGAGTTAGTTAAGGAATGATGTGTCAATGGATCTGGGCACCTGAATTATTAAAGTAGTATCTGTTTACAGGAGTATTAGATGGTGTGTACATATCACTCTTGCTAAGATGAAATACAAGCAAATGGCCATCAGAGCATACAGGAGAGCTAAGTCGGGAATGTACCTAAGCCATTATTACTCGTATTGATGGGCTGTGGACTCAGTGATGACTTTTTTTCCTCTTAGAGTGCGATTGAATCCTTGTTTGGCGCCTCCATGACGGGGATTGCTTATTCCTTGTTTGCGGGACAGGCTCTCACCATCCTGGGAAGTACTGGGCCAGTGCTTGTGTTTGAAAAGATTTTGTTCAAATTCTGCAAGTAAGACATTTGTTTTTCTGAAAAATCTAACAGATTTAGTGATTATGCTGCCAGGGTTAAATGTCAGGGTTCTGTTTGAGTACAGACAGGCAGTATGATTCTGGATTGTAAGAAACCTGGAAGGAGAACATTTGGTCTGTTGTCCTGCCCCTAGGTAGCACCATACCCAAAATAGCAGATCTCCTATTCTTAAAGAGCTTGATTAATATCCCTCAGCCATTATTGAAGTGTTGACTTTTTATCTTTAAAAAGACTTTTCCTAGCTACTTCAAACTTCATCATTTCCATTGCAAGTCAATTTGTAATTTGGCCTAATATCCCCCTTCATATGTATATGTGTATGTATATATGTGTGTATACATACATATATATTGCTAGTAATAGTGGGGCACAAGAGTGCTCTGGTTTCCCTACTTTTCCTATACAGTCTTTTCTTTTTTCCTTCTATATTTCAAGTAGTAGCTCATGGGACTAGGGCCAGCCCCTTTTTCTCTTACTACAAGAATAAGATCATAATTACATTAGGTAGTAATGGCAGGAATGTATAAGAGACAATTTCTTTTTTCAGTTTTCCTATCCTTGCCCATATCCTGTGAAGCAAATCTGTATCACAACTGTGCCAGAGCGTTATTTAGGAGTAAAATGCATACAGAATTAGGATAAATTGGGTTCCAGTGCTGGTTTAGATGAGTTGAATTAACCACATTTCTGACTCCTTGTCTCTTAATGCCATCCATTCATGCTTTCTGATGAACTTTGGTCTTGTTTCAGAGACTATGCTCTTTCATACCTCTCCCTGCGAGCTTGTATTGGACTGTGGACTGCTTTCCTGTGTATTGTCCTTGTGGCAACTGATGCCAGTTCCCTTGTCTGCTACATTACCCGTTTCACTGAAGAAGCATTTGCCTCCCTAATTTGCATTATTTTCATCTACGAAGCAATAGAAAAACTGATTCATCTGGCAGAGACCTATCCCATCCACATGCACAGCCAGCTGGACCACCTTAGCCTCTATTAGTAAGTGTGCTTTCTGCTTAATTTTAGAAAATTGAGCAAAGGGCCTGAGTTTAATTGCTGATAGAGAGTGCTAGGCAGTGCTTACAGCTTCTAGTAAAGAAGTGTCTTGCCCATTGGGAAATGGAGCTCAGATATGGATGAGGAGAATTGGAGGGCTGCCAGAAGAGAACAATCAAAAGTGTTGACAGAGAAGATCGACTGAAAGTGAAACACAGAGGGTACTCAAGAAGTGCTTTCCAGGCCAGGTCTTTCGGTTCTAGGCACTGAAATAAAAATAGGCGACAAATGTAGCAGGGAGAATTTGAATTCATTATGGGGAAGAACTTTTTGCAAGGATTTGTGAGCCCCTGGACTATGTTATCAAGTGAGAGAATGGACTCTTTCTCTCTTTTATTCTTTTTTTTTTTCTTAGCCTCTTTGTTGAAATGAAGGATTCTCTTTTTCTGAAAGTATGTACAGGCAACTCTTAGGAATTATTAGGTGAAGCTATATTAATAATTTATTTAAGATCCTGAGGCATCTCACATGATATCATAAAGATCTAGAAACCTACTTACTTCCTAGATTTCAACTCTGGAGATTATGATTTCTTTATGTGTTCAATATGGTTTGGATCGTCTAGAAAAGAAACACAGTATCTGGCTGTGTTTTCAACCATCTAGGACACTCTGGTCCTATAAACATTTCTTCTCTTGAATAGCATTCTCCAAATTATGACTAAAGATCCTCTTCCCTTAGCTCTGTACATCAAGTTCTGGCTGTACAGTTCTGATGTGGAGGATCTGGTTGTGAAATGAACAATTTCAGTTCAAAACTGCCTCAGAAGAGAGAGTACACTGCCTGGATGCATCTGCCAACCAGCAACAGATACACTTTCATCTATTCTAGTTATTCACTCATTAACCTTTTAAAAATCAGAATTAATAAAAAATTTATTAGAACTTTATTCTACTAGAAAGTAAATGATTAGGGATTATAATCTTCAATGCCTAGTGAATTGGCTCCTATTGGCATTGGAGTTCTTATTTCTGTAAGGTTCATTCTTTGACCTCTTTTTATCATTAATTTCTTTGTTTAACAAATATTGATTGAGCACCTATTATGTACCAAGCACTGTTTTAGGCCTTGGAAACATAGCGGTGAACATGGAAAGGATCTGTCTTTATGAGGCTTATATCCTAATGAGAGAAGACAGGCAAAGTGACCAACCCTGGACTGAGTAGACTTTGGTTCCGGAAAGAAATTTGTTAATAAAGCTCAAGATGTATTTTTTTTTTTTTTTTGGTCTAATTCTACAGTTAGTTCATATGGTGCTGATGTGAAGCTAGAACTCCTCAACTCTTTAAATGGTTTTATGTTAATATGTATGGAATTGATTTTTTTAAAATAGACTTTATTTTTTAAAGCAGTTTTAGATTCACAGCAAAGTTGAACGGCAAGTACAGAGAGCTCGCATATTCCCCTACCCCAGCACACACATAGTCTCCCCCAATATCAATATCCCATACCAGAGTGGTAAGTTTGTTATAATCAGTGAACCTACACTGACACGTTATTGCTACCCAAAGTCCATAGTTTACATTAGGGTTGGCTCTTGGTTTTGTACATTCTATGGATTTTGATAAATGTATAATGACATGTATCCTCCATTATAATATCATACAGAATACTTTCACTTCCCTAAAAATCTTCTGGGATTCACCTGTTGCTCTCTCCTTCCTCCCAACTCCTAACAACCACGGATCTTTTTATGTCTTTATAGTTTTGAATTTTCCAGAATGTCATAGTTGTAATTATGTAGTATGTAGCCTTCTCAGACTGGCTTCTTTTACTTTGTAATATGCATTTAAGGTCCTCTATGTTTTTTCACGGCTTGGTGGTTCATTTCTTCTTAGTGCCGACTAATATTCCATTGTCTGGATGTACCATGGTTTATTTATTTGGAACTGATTTTTTAAAACCTAAGTATAGGTCTTTATAGCTTTCCCTATTACTTTTCATTTTGTCAGTTTCTTCCTATTATTCTAACCTGTTGAGATCTTTTTGAATTTTAATTCCATCATGCCATATCTTAGAAGGCATGCTTATTAAATTTATAGACCATACAAAGTTAGTGAGGATGGCTGTGTCAGTTGACCATATTGGGAGCCACGTCAGGCAGGAAGCATGCTGGGACTGGGAGGCAACGTGGTGGCCAATGGCACAGGTGTGGTCTGATCTGGTCTGGTTTGGCTGGAACAGGAGGCCTGGGGAAGCTAAAGGAACTTCTAGGTCTGGCTGTACCATGAGTAGCCAGGGAATGGCTAAGGTAGTGGGATATTAGCAAAGGTAATACAGTGTCAGGAAGTGCTTACATCATGGTTCCAGAAGACTCTGACTTTTAGAACAAGAGCATGATGAAGGGTATAGGGAATAAGATATTCAGGCTTGGAGGAAGTTGTTGAGAAGTAAGTGGGATATCGAGACCTCCTTGTGATGTAGATTAAATTTCATAGCAAGAGCCTAAGAGATAGAAATCGGGCAAAAAAAAAAAAATCAGGACTCATTCTGGGCACATCAGATACCAAACATTATTGTCAGCACAGTTTAATCCAAGATCCATGGGATTATTTGAGTCCAACTTTAGTAATGACCAACTGAAAAATTAGAATATGTTTGGGCCTACAGAGGGGCCTCAACTCCTCAGGTCCGAAGTATGCAAAGGAGAAGCAAGGCAGCTCCTGACAGCCTTTAAACCAGTTGTGTCTAGAAGAGCAGAAAATCAAAGACCGCATGTTCTCACTCATAGGCGGGTGTTGAACAATGAGAACACATGGACACAGGGAGGGGAGTACTACACACTGGGGTCAGTTGGGGGGAAATAGGGGAGGGACGGTGGGGGGTGGGGAGGTGGGGAGAGATAGCAAGGGGAGAAATGCCAGATGTAGGTGATGGCGAGGAAGGCAGCAAATCACACTGCCACGTGTGTTCCTATGCAACAATTTTGCATGTTCTTCACATGTACCCCCAAACCTAAAATGCAATAAAATAAATAAATGGGAAAAAAAATAAAAACCAGTTGTGTCTAAAAACATTTAACTGAATATTTGGCTGTTTTCCTCAGGAATCTTTTTAATTTTTCCCCTCAGCTGCAGGTGTACTCTTCCAGAGAATCCAAACAATCACACCCTGCAGTACTGGAAGGACCACAACATCGTGACAGCAGAAGTCCACTGGGCTAACCTGACTGTCAGTGTAAGTCTGGGAGCTGCCCAGTGTCCCAGCATTGTGATCACAGGTTTAGGAGGGACTACTATGTGAAAGGGAGGAGGGGTAGCCTTTTGGCAAACTCTAGCATTTACCAAAATAAATCTTTTTAAAAAAACATTTCTTACTCACTTTCTTTTATCTTTTTCTTGTACATAAGGGGAGAAGATTACCCTTCTTTTTTCTTCCCCCACATCCTACCCAGTGACCATGTGCTAAGTGTAGGTGGGGATGAAACCATGCAGGACAGGAGGCAGATCCAGACATGTGGGGTTGAAGAATCTTCAAGTTTGGAGGTCCTCTGTGAGAACAATACAAGTTGCCAGGGTCCTTCTGGAGCCTTGAAAGTAGTGTTTGTTCAGAACAGTTCTGGTTCTATGTCTTAGGACCATAAGTAGCCACCCTACTTGAAAGTGGCCTGTGCAAGAGAGGACCCTGCAACTGCATGAAGGTCAAGGGGATGCTGCTTGCAGCCTCTGCTCCCAACAACCATGGGATGACAGTGAGTGGTGGACTGAGAGGAAACAGCTATTTATTTGGTTGTGTCTGCCTTTCATCACCCAGAATGTTTATTTCTCCAGGAATGCCAGGAGATGCATGGAGAGTTCATGGGATCTGCGTGCGGCCATCATGGACCCTACACTCCTGATGTCCTCTTTTGGTCCTGTATTCTCTTCTTCACCACCTTCATTCTCTCAAGCACCTTAAAGACATTTAAGACGAGCCGTTATTTCCCGACCAGAGTAGGTAGCATGTTCATGCATTTCTTTTATGTTAGAATCAAATATAACAGAACCTTTTCTCAGCCTCTGTCCTTCTTATGGGGTTGATTGGCCGGGTGGAGAGCTCCAGATGTCCTGATGAGCCATACTGGCATTCTCACCTAGTGTCTGGAAGCCTCTTTCATTGATCTGCGGTTAGGAATGAAGGGTTAATACTTAAAATGTTTTTGCAGTTAAGCTTAAGGTGGTAGTGATGCTTTTTAAGAGTTATTAAGTCTTATTTCCAGAATGCTGTTACATTTCATTTCCAGAATGCCGAGACACTTAGCACATAATAGCTACAGCTGGCTCCTGAATGCAGTAAATTGTGGTTGTCACCTTGGATACTTTAGGGGACCCAAAAATCTTCTCCCAGGGATGGTATTTGTAATAGCTTATGAAATCACTGGTGACACTGACTGCAGCAACCAGCATGCTCCTAACTTAGTGTGTATGACTGTTTGAAGCCTCTGCAACCTTTCCATGATGCAGATAGCATTGTTTGTGTTATGACCAAGGCTTTTGCCAGTTTTGCCAGGGCAAGATTAGAGGCTGAGTGTGCAGTAGCTACATGGGCCATTTCTTTGAAAGGGAGCTTGAGAAGGTGGGGAGTGGCTACTGGAACCTCATCACAGAAAGTTAATACTGAAAAGAATAAGCACATGAATTATTTACATTCTTCAGTCACATGGAAACATCTGTAATAAATGACCATTATATTTGTCATATCAAAACTATGACAGGAAGATGGGTGATGTACAGTGACCACAAAATTTGTGCCACAGAAAGGCCCCCTAAAGACTTGGGTTACACGTACCTTTACCACAGTATACCAAGCTAAAACTCAAACATACGAATCAGTGGGAAGAAGCCACATACCTTTTTTTTTGAGACAAAGTCTTGCTCTGTCGCCCAGGCTGGAGTGCAGTGTGACACGATCTTGGCTCACTGCAACCTCCACCTCCCAGGTTCAAGCGATTCTTCTACCTCAGTCTCCTGAGTAGCTGGGACTACAGGTGTTCACCACCATGCCCAGCGAATTTTTTTTTGTATTTTTAGTAGAGATGGGGTTTCACTGTGTTAGCCAGGATGGTCTTGATCTCCTGACCTTGTGATCTGCCCACTTCAGCCTCCCAAAGTGCTGGGATTACAGGCATGAACCACCCCGCCTGGCCCATATACCTTTTTAATTTGTCAAAAAGGTAGAACAGCCATATGAAGAAATACGTTGGGTATTTGTAGTTTAACAAATACAATCAGGCCAGTCATGATGGCTCACACCTATAATCCCAGCACTTTGGGAGGCCAAGGCGGGTGGATCGCCTGAGGTCAGGAGTTGAGACCAGCCTAGTCAACATGCTGAAACCACATCTTTACTAAAAAAACAAAAGTTAGCTGGGAGTGGTAGCACAGGCCTATAATCCCAGCTACTTGGGAGGCTGAGGCATGAGAATCACTGAAACCCAGGAGGTGGAGGTTGTAGTGAGCTGAGATTACACCACTACACTCTAGCCTGGGTGACAGAGTGAGACTCTGTCTTAAAAATAAAATTAAAAAAGTTAAAAAAAAGAGCACAATCATTTGATGCCTTCTGAAATAGAAGAAATTTGTATTAGTGATGATACACTATTGTAGATAGTTTTTATACATGTTTAAGGAGAAGATAATATAAAAAAGAGTATTTATTTGCTGGCAAGAGATCTACCATCAGCACATCAGAAATGGGGATGCGCTCCCAGTCTATTGGGGGATGGGTGGTAGTGGCCTTCAGAGAAACCTATTAATGTGGCCAGTGGTGTGGCCTGACCTGCAGTAAATGAAAAACCTTCTTGGTGTTTCATAGAGAAAATCAGCTATTGGGTGGGGCTTTATTTGTAGCTTTTTTTTTTTAATTGTATGCAATAATTTCTGACCTATATATATATAATACAGCATTTTCAAGAAAAGATATTTTTAACTTAAATCATACCAAAATTCATAATATGATGATATTGTGAATGTGTGTGAAAGTGTGTGAGACCTTTACAGTTCACTAGAAAATCTGTGATGGTTTGTTTTTAAAGGCTAAGCAGTTGGTATTAAGCAAGTAAATATTTTAACGAAATTATAACTCAGGAACAGTTTAAAATATTCGTTTCCCACTTAGATTTCAAGAGTAAAAAGGGCTGAGTTATCAAGTGTCAAGAATTCACTTGGGTTTGTGGCATTTGGTGGTACAATGCCAATGCCCACAGCAGCGTAATATTGTACTTTGCTAAAAGTAGACACATGAATTCTCTATTTTTCAGTAGCCTTTTCCCCAAAAAGTATAATGTTTATTTTTAGTTAAAATAGTTAATCTTGTTTTACCATACCATATGATAACTTCTTGGTATCATGTGAAGTGCCCCAAATTTGTATTTTCTCATCTCTGAGCTCTTTGCCTGTTTCCATTTCTACATTTTTCTGGGGCTAGAGGCTCATCTCTGACCTTTTTTCATGTATCACCTCCTATTTTACTTCACTGCTTATCTGCTATGATCCGCAGTGTTATTTTGGACACTTTAAGAATTTCAAATGTGGCTGGGTATGGTGGCTAATGTCTATAATCCCAGCACTTTAAGGGAGGTTAAGGCAGGTGGATCACCTGAGGTCAGGAGTTCAAGACCAGCTTGGGTAATATGTTGAAACCCTGTCTCTACTAAAAATACAAAAATTAGCTGGGTGTGGTGGTAGCTTGTAGTCCCAGCTACTCAGGAGGCTGAGGCAGGAGAATTGCTTGAACCCAGGAGTTGGAGGTTGTAGTGAGCTGAGATCACTCCACTGCACTCCAGCCTGGGCAACAGAGTAAGACTCCATCTTAACAATAATAATAATAATTTCATAGGCAAAGAAGCTTTATATAATATTATGAAAGACCATCCTTTCCATTTGGTTATTGCAGTATTTTAGTTGCAACCTGGCATTAAATTAGAGTTTCAAATGTGATGAAAAGCAGAATGATAGTGTTCTATAATTTTCCTACTGCTCTGCACCAAATTCCCAAGTCTCTGGAATTTCTATTTCAAATTATTCAGTCGAATGTAAAATGATTTATTGCTGTCTGCTTAACATATATTTGTTTGGTTGAAAGGATTTTTCAGAAACTGTAGGAAAATTAAGCAGAACCAACAGGGTGAAATAAAGCACAAACACTGGATTAGGATGTGGTGAGTTGTGAACAATCAGGATTCTGGTTATGACTGGGGTCCCTGTCTCATAGGAGCTTAATGCCATGTGAGCCAGGGACACAGTGTCCAAGGCCCATGGCCTGGAGACCTGGATGCTGGCTGTGGACCTTGGGCAAGTCCCTCATCCTCCCTGTGCTGCATTCTCCTCATCTGTACAATGATGTGATGACACCTGCCGTCTCTTTCCGGTCTTGCTTCAAGGATACAGTGAGATTTGATATGATGAACCAAGAGTAGAAGGTGGTGTGCCATGGTGGGTCCTAGTTGAGCATGCTCCCTGCCTTCTCTTCTCTGACGTCTTCTTCAGTTTGGGGACAAATGGGAATAGCAGAAGGAGGGGAGCTCATAGTGTAGAATTCTCTACTAAAGTGTGCCTACTGGTGTTACCTTCTAATGTTGAGTTGGATTTTCTAAAGCAGCCCCACTTTGTTACTGAAGTTGCTGACTCCTGTGGAAATCCCCCTACTAAGCAGCCTTACAAAATCCAGTCCCCATAGAATAATGACTCCACACAGGCATCAAAAATGGGTTGTCCTCTATTATGTTACAAAGCCTTTTGGGCTATGGAAGATGATTGGGTGTTTGGATTGAAATGTGGACAAAGGACCTGGGTGCGGTGGCTCATGGCTATAATCCCAGCATTTTGGGAGGCCAAGGTGGGTGGATCACTTGAAACTAGGAGTTCAAGACCAGCCTGGCCAACGTGGTGAAACCCCATCTCTACTTAAAAATACAAATATTAGCTGGGTGTGCTGGTGGTGTGTACCTGTAATCCCAGCAACTAGGGAGGTTGAGGCACGAGAATTGCCTGAGCCCAGGAGGTTGCAGTGAGCCAAGATCATGCCACTACACTCCAACCTGGGTGACAGAGTGAGACTCAGTCTCAAAACAAAAAATGTGAACAAAGATAGCATGTATATTTTGAGCAAAATACACATTTTATAATAGAATTTTATAAATAAACTTTGTAAAATCAATGGTATAAAATCAGTATTAAGATTATATGCTATACATTACCTAATTTCATTAAGTAGAAAAAGAAATTCAGCCCTTCTTATGCCTAAACATATTGTAAGAAAGTGTATTATGGCTGCCCTTTTATCTGCCTCACAAAACAGAGGGCTGTTTCTACAAGGCAAAGTTTTGTATAAGTTCTATACTTTTGTTTGTTGGTTTGTTTTAAGACAGAGTCTTGCTCTATGGCCAGGCTGGAGTGCAGTGACGTGCTCTCGGCTCGCTGCAACCTCCGCCTCCCGGGTTCAAGCTTTTCTCCTGCTTCAGCCTCCAGAGTAGCGGGGGCTACAGGTGTGTGCCACCATGCCCAGCTGATTTTTGTAGTTTTAGTAGAGATGGGGTTTCACCATGTTGGTCAGGATGGTCTCAATCTCTTGTATCATGATCCGCCCACCTCGGCTTCCCAAAGTGCTGGGATTACAGGCATGAGCCACCGTGTCTGGCCAAGTGCTATTCTTTATTTCAGTTTGAGAGTTGGGAAAAACTGGAGCAAATAATGAGTTTCTTTCTTGCTTAAAAATGTACATATATGTGTATCTTAATATATATAAGGTAGATTTCCCTGGAATAAAAGTCTAGAATGTACTGCTTAATTTTACACATATGTGTAGACAATGTTATCTGTGAGTGAAAAGTGGAATAATATGTGGATTGGGTCAGCTGATTATCCGCCTGTTAGGAGTCCTCTGTGTGAGACATGGTGGTATAATTGTGAAGTTCTCACTGTATGCGGATGTTCATGTGAAAGATAGTACTTCCTTTCTGTAAATATCTTTGATTTCCATTTGTATGGAATCCCAATGAACGTATGTTTGGAAAACAATGTGTCAAAGTTTGTATTTTGTTCGTTGATCTAAATGCCCATGTAACTAATCAGAAATCTAGTTTGTCTCAGATTGGGAATTTTCTTTTAAAGGAAAAAAAAATACAGAAAAGACTATTGGAAGAATCATGTTCAAATGACATTTTACATCAATGTTGCTTCAGTATTTTGGAGTTGACTAGGTGGTTTTCTCCTACCTACAATAGAATGTGCCTACTGCTTCTCTGTTGCCCTCTTTGGGCTTGCAGGAAGTACAACAGGAATAGCTTGAGCCTTTTGCTTACTTTACCCGAACTGCCTTCCCTGCAGTTCATGGTGAGAACAACTGGGTTTGTACCCTGACTCCACCTTAAGTGTGGTAGATAGGGCCAAGTCACTTTACCTCTCTGGGCATTTTTCTTTAAAACGAATGGGTTAAACTTGATAAGCTCAGAAGTCCCTTCCTGCCCTAACATTCTCTTCTATTTTTATTTTCTTGTGGTTACTGTTAGGGTCAGACATGTGAAATATGAGGGACCATTTAGAGGTTTAGATGTTATATTTTTGGATTATTACAGAGTATCACCTAAGTTTAGGACCTGTATCATTTTTAGTGTCCCCACCCTATTTCTATTCCTGCTCCACTTGTCTTTCTTTGTAATCATCTCATTTTTTTCCACTCTTGAAACTCACAACTTTGCAGTCCATGAGTTACTTTGCTACCATCCCCCTCAAAAACAAATATATTTAAAACACCCTCCTAGAAAAGCCTCCCAATCACCTTCAGCTAAATCTGTAACATTTATAGAATATTTAAAAATTTTAATTCAGCTAGAGTTATGATCCCCAAACAAGTGCTGACAAAGCTGTCTATCATATAAAGGATGTCTTTTTCACCTTGTAGGTATCATTGTTGCTGAATCACATCAGTATAGGCCTTCGGTGGGAAGACAGCAGGGGACGGGGCAGGACTAGGGGATGGGATTAGATAAAATTGTGATTCTATCCTTTCCTTCAGGTCAAAAATCCTTGGTTTAAAACAAGGTTCTGGGTCAAGCACAGTGGCTTATGCCTGTAATCCCAGCACTTTGGGAAGCTGAGGCAGGCAGATCGCTTGAGCCCAGGAATTCAAGACCAGCCTGGGCAACATGGCAAAACCCTATCTCTAAAAAGTACAAAAAAAAAAAAATTAGCTAGGTGTGGTGGTGTGCACCTATAGTCCCAGCTACTCAGGAAGGCTAAGGTGGGAGGATCACTTGAGGCCAGGGAGGTCAAAGCTGCAGTGAGCCGTGACAGTGTCATTGCACTCCAGCCTGGGCAACAGAGTGACACCTGTCTCAAAAACAAGACAAAACAAAAACCAAGGTTCTGTACTCTTAAGTTGGTATATAAATGACCTGCACAGTGTCACAGAGATTTCCTACTCAGTAAATCACTCTGAAAGAGTTTGCATAAGATTGTCTAGACCTGCAGTATTTAATGTGGTAGTCAATAGCTACATGTCACAAATGACCACTTGAAATTTGGCTTGCCAAATTGAAACTGTGCTGTACACATAAAATATATGCCATGTCTTGAAGGATTAGTACCAAAAAAGAATATAAAATATTTCATCAATATTTTATATTGATTACATACTGAAATGACAATATTTTAGAAATATTAAGTAAAATAATAATCTGATAAATGTTATAATTGTTTTCACTTATTTTTATATTTTTTTTTTTTTTTTTTTTTTTTT